GTTTGCGGGGCGGAGACAGAGTCTGGGGCCCCCAGGTAGGGCGGAGGCAAATGTGAGGAACCTGGGAGCCCGAGACTTGGGCTGCAGGCAGCCGCCACACCTCGGCCCAGCGTTGACCCCGCGCACCGCCCCCCTCCACTTCTACCTCCCTCCTCCTTGTTTATCGGGGTGTGCGTGCGTGCGTGTGCATGTGCCGAGTCTTGGAGCCAGTTTCCTCCCGTGTCTTATCTTTGTGAAGTAGGCGGGGGAAGTTGCCTTTAAGAACAAGGAATCTGAGGTCCAGAGGTAAATAGGCTGGCCCTCCCTACGTCACAAGGCTAAGGGGCACAGCTAGGATCTGGACCCAGGCCAGTCTGATTGATTCATTCACCCAGTCACTTAGAGGAAGCTTGCACTTTGGTTAGGAACGGAAGGGGTGAAGCCAGACTACTTGAGTTCACAGCTCACCTTCTCTGCCCGCTTAACACTCTTGTGCAATAGTGCTAGTTTGCAGGATTAGACAGGTACACATAGCTGGGTGTAGTGGTGCACACCTGTCATCCCAGCACTCTGGGAGGTGGAGGCAGGAAGGTTGTAAATTCCAGTTCAGCTTGGGGAATTTAGCGAATCAGTGAGAACCTGTCTCTAAATAAAACATCAAAAGGGGCTGCGGGGAGTAGCTCAGTGCAAAGGCCTTGGGATCAATCCCCAATACCACACACGTACACATCTGCTGTCACCTGCACACAATTTAAAACAGGACCAGGTGCATATGCAATCATTACTGTTAGCCAATATTTCTACAGCTAATTGCTATTGAGGTCTAACTATAAACAAGACTGTTCTAGAGCTAAGGCTGCAGATATGAGCAATGGAGAAAAGAGCCCTGCCCTTCTTGAGCTCATATCCACATGCAAATGAACTCAAAATTAGATAATTTCAGGAAGTACTGGGGCCTTCTGGAGAGTGATGGGCTTGCTGAGGAAGAAGGCAGCATGTCAGATCCACACAGGCAGGAGTCATTGTTGGTCTGGATCCACTGCTGTATCCCTAGCATCCAGTCTAGTATCTGGCACACAGTAGGTAATTAGTACATATTTGTTGCCTCAAAGATTGAAATGTAGAAGATACTATGAGGGAGGTCTCCAGGGGACTGTGTTTTATTACAAGAGTCTGCATTTTTTTTCGGGTGCAAAGGGAACTCTTTGGAGGGTTTCCAGAAGGGCAGTCACTTTGCTTTACCTTTTCAGTTAATATTTTAGTCTGAAGACTTTAATATGTACAGTGAAGTAAGCCTGTACACTCTATAGAAAACTTTCTACTGTTACGGGCTAGGTCTGAGGGTCCCTGAGGCTGAGATAAGGAATTTTTTTTGTTTTTTTGTTTTTTTTGTTTTTTGAGACAGGGAGACACTATGTAGTTGAGACTGACCTGGTACTTACTATGTAGGCCAGGCTGGTCTGGAATTCACAGCAATTCTCCTGCCTCAGTCTCCGAGTGCTGGGATTACAGGTGTGTGCCACCACACCCAGCTGATATAAGGAATTTAACCACTCCTAAGATAAATATACAGGGGTCCGGCGTGGTGGGTGGTGGTGCACGCCTGTAATCACAGCACTTGGGAGGCTGAGGCAGGAATCGCTGTGAGTTCAAGACCAGCCCAGGCTACATAGTGAATTCCAGGTCAGTCTCAACTACATAGTGAGACGCTGTCTCC